GAAGTTATAACTTAAAAATTTTTCTCTTCCTCTAGTATACAGGTTGTCGAAGCTTATCTGGAGGGAGTAGCCTCAGTGGACGGGTCCGCACTAGTAATAGTACCATACTCTTGAGACTGTTAATCAGGGTTCAAGGAATCAAAAAAATTGAAAAAAATTCAGAAAATAATATTTTTCAGTTCATGATCAAAAATAATGAAATTGGAAATATGTACTGAAAATGACCTCAGTTAAACACGGTGCAAAAAACGGCCCGTTAACGATACCATTTTCGACGATCTGGGTGTGAAATGAGGGGATATTAATACCATTTGTACTTTTTGCCAAGTTTTTCTGTTAAAAATAGAAATATTTGGCTAAACTTGAGTTGGTATCCTTTGGCAGAAATTCCTTCTGAAAATCCGGTAACACTATAGCTGATATTTATATCGATGTAATGTTTACTGAAGGAGAGGAAAATTAAAGAAAAAAACGAATACAGCCAGCACTCATTGTGTCAATTGACATACTAAAAGAATACTATCTGAGTTTGCACAGAACTGTTGTTCTACAGTTTAAACAATTTCTACTTAAGTCAATGATAATATCTTTCTAATTTCTCCTGGATGTGTACTTACTAGGTGTGCTACTTTACTTTTACTAATTATTACATTATCCTGTACCAGTAATAAACGTTTGTTACTTATTACCGGTAAAAAGGTAATAAATCTTGTTGTTTTATTACTTATTACTTTATGTAATAATTTTTCATCATTTTACTTTTTATTACTTTTCGTCTTATTACTAATAAGTAAAGGAATAAAAGATTATTAGTTGAAAAAAGTAATAAGATTTATTACTTGTTTCCAGGTAATAAGTAATACATTTTATTACTTATCACTTGGTAAAGAACAGTAAAGTGACACTCCTAAGTACTTACTGTTCGGAAAATGGCGTGTGCATGTTTAGGTTATCTGCATTGCATGTCATCCTTTGTTGTCATTAGTTTTAGCTTTTTGTACTTCCGCTGTTTTTGCCATCTTCAGTACTATTACATATATATAATCTAATTGATTATCTTTTTTTCACTTTTATTCTACTTTTGGCGGACGAAGACGTCTTTGACGTTGAAACGTAACAAGAAAGAATATCCAAAATAACTCAAATCTAAATTTATATGTATGCCACACTAGAACATTACGCAGATTTTGACTAAAATTGTACAACTCTGTTCAAAACTATACAAAAACTTATGTTAAGTTGAAGACATGTTTATCATTATATGTGTTGTAGCTATTACGAGTCTCGTCTATTGTTTGTTATTTATGGAACGGTCACTAATATCCATTTCAAAATATAGTGTGGGTCACCCACAATCAGTGATTGTGACATGAATAACTCGAGAACGGAATGAGCTATCGAGATCGGATTTTCACCATCGTGTAGCCAAGACCGGGATAAATACTTTACGACAAATAGTTTATATATTTTTTCTATTGTTTCCATATTAGTTATCGTAGTCGAATACTAATGCTTTTCACGCACGCTTGTCACTTCAACTTCGAATGATGATAATGTTTAAAATTCGATGAGTGACTATAATAATTCTTCTTCGGCATCAGCATTATCCGCAATTCCATCATATACGATTAGTGTTCGTTAAAAAGCGGCGTAATCAGTTTCTTCTGATATTTTTTCTTCGATGATGATTTATGCAAATTATCAAAATTGTTGACTTTGTTCTGCTAAGACCAAAGATGTCAAGTTGGCAAAATGTTGGTCACAGACCGATTTTTAGCATTTAATTGTCTTCTCTGGTCAAATTATATGAACTTTAGTCACTCAAAATATGAAATGTACTTAAATCACAAGTTTTCAACGAGTGCTTGTCAGCTATATTGTTGTTCCTTACAAGTATTTATCATAGAGTGATTTTCTCAAATTAATGTACATATTTATTTTATTCATTGCATATTGTTCGACTTTACTGAAGTCTTTTTCTGATAGGATTTCACCTTTTCGAATATGTTTGTTAAGATCAGTGTACAATTTCATTTGTATATAGATGCCACGTATTTCATGGTATAAAATAAATTTTAACATATAGAATGCATTACGTCTTATAGACAGCTTTACTTCATTCAATTCACTAGGAATTATCATATTTGTTTTAATGACTAGTGCTAATGGTGTTTGGTTTGAGAATAGTTGAGATTGCTGGGTGCTTGTAGCTTGTGATCGATCAACAGAACCAAAATGATATACCATTCCTCCTGAAATAAAAAATAGCATTTAATTTATGATAAGACAAAGAACTGACAGTGCACGTAGTTGCCTTGTTCCGACTGATGCTGTAACTCATTGAGCCACCCTTTAATTCCTTCTTCAGCTGCCTCTTGATGTTTGAAAGTGTCTCTAACTAGATGGTAATAAATTCGAGATGCACGATAAAACTTTGCATATATAAGATTTGTACATTGAATCATTTTTGCATCATTCTCTTGAATATATTTGACAATTTTTGTGGAAAAATTGCACATAAGAAAAAAGTTCACTAAATCGCTTTTTTTATAAATAACACACACTTATAATTCTTCCTATTTTATC